TGAAAAAAAATTGTATTTTATTATGCCTGTAACAAGGCTATATTGTACCAACGTACAGGGGGGGGGGGGGGCTCTTGAGAACGCTGTATGGAGAGTTAACTGTGTATATATCATACTAGAAATACAAAAAGGTCAAATTAACGGACTGTGATATTAAGAGGTAATCGAAATAACCGGATATACTGATCACCGGAAATCACTTATAAACACCGGAATTCACTTCGCAAAATATCAGAATTCGCCCGCAGGGCCTTCCTATTTACATATATTTTGCATTAATAATGAGTTACTTAAAATCACTAAAAATCACAGGAATTCACCTTGGAAACATAAACAAAGAATTTACTTTTAAAATATCGGAATGCGCACTGAAGACCTTACCATTTACTAATATTTTGCATTGATAATAAATTACTTTGAACACCGAAAACCACCGGAATTCACATTGAGAAAATCGGAATTCGCCCCCAAAACAGTTGTATTTATTTATATTTTGAATTAAATCCTCCTACAAAACTAATTTATTTTAAATGTATAATATATACGGGCCCCTAATAACTATTTTGATTTCTGCACAGACTTGCAGAAGGTGCTGTAGGTGTATTTATTTGAAAGACTACCAGAATTAATTTCAAATGTATGATAACGTAGGTTACATTGTCTAATGAATAACTATTTCGATCTTTCCACAGATTACATGAAATACACGGCCACATACAATAATGTTATGGGTTCCCCCGCTCTAGTTATCATTATTCACCGGAATTCACTTGAAAACTACTACATGTAGTACTACTACTTGTCTCAAAAGGCGCACCACCACGCCACACGGATAGTTTAATTTTCCTGGCATTGACTCTATAATGCAAGGGCGGATTGAGAAATCAGAGATGGGGGGGGGGGGTGTCACGGAAGGCGAAGCCGAACGTTGCGACCGCCGAAGGCGCGAAGCGCTCAACACCGGTGTGGGTACATAAGATAAGTTTACAAATATTAGCAGCCCGACTTAGGCAATCTCTTTATACCAGATGAATAACTATGTATTACTTGATGTACCACCATAATAGGTAAAGCGAATAGAGGAATATTGGCGAAAAGGGTCAAATTTTCACTATCACAATGAAACCACACCACAGCAATCGCACAAGATACTTTTAGTCTTTTTACAATCTCGCCTGCACACACCGCAAGGCCCCCAAAAGGCCATACTAGAGTATTTAATCTTTCTACGAGTAGCCATGACAATTGATAAAGATATTAAAGACAACGATTTTTATTATAGCAATAGTTGAAAGTGAGGTGTGGGTAAATGCGATCGAACCATTTGTATCATTTTATGCCCACAGACAGGCGTTGCCACAAATGATTCGCAACGCATAATATAATAATGTACGGTAATATGAATGTATATAAACTGATTTACATTCAATCATTTCTGTTTTTATTGTAATTTCTAATCAGTTATGTTCGGCGAATAAAGCCACAAGTCTCAATCGAATGGCAATGTCTAGCGTCTGGCTATTAGTATTTTTTGCGCATGCTCTCCAGATAAGGAAATGGCGTCACCGTTTGACATGATTTGTGGAATATGTCTAGCTTCGTTCCCTGAGTCCCTTGTTACAAATGGCGCAGAAAGGCATTATGGTGCACGATTCGTGTATCAATGCTAAACTGTTTATTTTGTCTTAAATATTGGATATCAGAAGCCCATCTCTTCCCGGTAAGATAACAACATCAATGTTGATTTAAATTGACGTTTTCGGCATATTCACTTTACATTAACTAGTTTGTAACTATTATAGTGAGAACTTGTAGCTCTGTATCTAATCTCCCATAATGCCTATTTAAGTGAGAGAGGTGAAACTTGGTGTATAGTTTTATCACATCAATACATTGACTAAGTTCGATAATGAGCATTCTCTGCTTATGGCATACCCGGCGGAGTGAACACACCCAAGAACTAGTGATACTCGTTTTAAGTTTCATCTAAATTGAATAAAACTGTGACCTGGATGATCCGCAACATGGGTATTACATGCTTTTATTATACTATTTTCGTAAAGAGGAGTGGCTATTTGACGGGAAAGTTCCATTTTGAGGAAATAATTATGGTGTAACGGTGATATATTTGAACAGTTTTGAAAATAAGATACTAATTGTGACCTCTAGAGGGACAAGGCTAAATACGTGATATTTCGGACAATCAGGGGGGTCATAATCCCGAAAGTTACGGTCCAATACGCGCCAATAACGAAAGGAACCCAGATCTATGGGATATAAATATGTAATTTAAGTTTCATTAAAATTGGATAAAAAAAAATTCGAAACGCTGGAATTCGTCAAGCTCACGAAATTTGACAATTCACAATTCATGATGCCACACTGAACTTTTTTAAAGAGAGAAATCCAACACCCCGTTTGATTTCAATTTTCTTATGAAATAATAGGATCACATTATGATTGAATTTCATTGATGCAAGAAGGCATAAATTGTGATATAACATATGTCTATATTATCATTTCCGTCTTTGAATGCCCATCCTACCCCACCATCTGATGATAAAGCACACATCATGATTATTCCGCCTAATCTTCATAATTCTAAAAGTGATGTTTCTGTTTTACTCGCACGCCACAAGTATGCAGGTTGAAGAAGACATTGGATTTTAGCCCAATCCGAAGGACTAAACACTCAGCATACTCACAAGTTCACTGAACGACCTTGGCCCCGATGCAAATGGCTGTTGAATTACCATAGAAATACCCCACCGGCATTAAAAATAAATAATAATGCTACATAATAAACCCTCGAAATACAGAAAACGAAACTTACCTTGTTCTAGTAATGATGATACTGCTAGATGATTTAATGAAAATTTGACTGGTATTTATATAAGTATAGAAACAGGATTTAACTAAACGGAGTAACATGTACGTTGAAATACACCTGTATAAAAACAACCTTATTTCAAAAGTTAATACATAAATTTATCTACCACTCAGTTTGATAGTGAACATTTTATGCTTAGAAAAGGTATAGATGATCAGTTTGATTGGTGGATAATTTTGATAAAGATAAATATGCAATTAATTAATGTGTCAGCTATTTATTTTGTAATTTCGGTGCGGGACATCAGCCTCGCTATTAGCTTGTTTCACGTACGCGACAGCGATCTATTCGTACATAACTAACGTACGAAAATTAAATGGTCGCTAGCTTTTTTTCGGTCTGTCGTTAGATTGACCAGGGGGAAAACAACAAAATATCACTCTAGTTAAATCAAAGTAGAACCAAAGCAACGTTATCGTGTTCCAAAGTCTCAACCAATCACATTGCTTATCTCTGCTTAACCTCAGTGGAAAAGCGCATGGCCGAACACTGTCAAGGCATTCACCTAATATATTTCTGACACTAGGCTCAATTATGTATAATGATATTTTCTAATGAAATCGACACTTTTTGTCTGTTTTTCACAACTGAGTATAAAGGTATCACAGAATAGGCACATGTCGACAATAAGTTTTGACAACTTCACTGATAGAACGACACAATGTACATGAGGTACAGATTGATCGTGTGGTAGATAAATTAGGATATTAACTTCTGAAATCAGGTTTCACACATTAAGGTGTATTATAAATTAGTTCTTAGCGCTACTTCAACAAACATGTTACTCTGTTTTGTTACATCCTGTTTCTATACTTATATAAATACAAGTCAAACTTTCATTAAATCATCTAGCAGTATCATCATTACTAGAACAAGGTTAGTTTTGTTTTCTGTATTTCGGGGGTTTATTATTTATTGTTATTTTATTTTTATGGCGGGTGGGGTGCCTTTTAAATCGGGGCCAAGATTGTTCAGTGAACTTGTGGGTATGCTGAGCGTTTAGTCCCTCGGATTGGCTAAAAGACCGAGGTCTTCCTCAACCTGCATACTTGTGGCGTGCAAGACGTGTACTTTATCATTTATCATTGGATGGTTAGGTGGGATGGGCATTCAAAGTGCGAGTTAATGATATCGACATATGTAATATCACAATTAAAGCTTTGCATCAATGAAATTGAATCACAGCGTGATCCTATTAATTCATGATAAAAATTGACGGGGTGTTGGACTTCTCTCTTTATAAAGCTCAGTGTGTATGTATGCTTAAGTAATTGGAAGACGATGATGGCATATAGCATGCAGTGTCAACTGTCAAATATCCTAAACAGGAACCTGGCAACCTCCCTCCCACAAATTCCTGGATCCGCCACATGCCCGTCTTCATACCCACCTTTGAATCTTTGGTATCACAGGCTTGTGATCATTTACAAAGGTATAAATATTCTAAAATGTATGTTCAGTCTTGTTAACCGAACAACTAAATGCTGTTGCTAGCCAGAACCAGACGATGGAGGCTTTATCCAGTTGATTTTAAGACCAACAATGGTTAACGCGTGCGTGTTGCATCATAAGGTCTGTCATTGATTCCAGTAGCATAGTTTCGATTCCCCGCGTGACAAGGAGTTGGGTCGCCTGTTCAACCTCGTGGGTTTTCTCCGGCTTCCTCCCACTGATAAAGACCCCTACGGGCAAGCGAATTAATGAAATAAAATCGAACAATATGGTAGTCCCGAAATGATCTAGTTGGTGTCAAGTGGACGTCAAACCCCATTTCTCTCTTTCTTTGTTTATCTATGGTTGTAGCCGGGTTGTTACTATCAATATGCTCATGTATAGTGTTAAAAGATACATAACAAGCTTAAACTATTTACTGCCTGAAACAGTTCAAAACAACCCATACTCCATATTCTGATGTACCGTCTCTAAATCTACTTTGGAATCTTTTAATCTTCGCTTTTGGCTGTGATAACCCTTTAGGATTTATGATGTTCGAGATCTATCATTATAAATTCAAGTAGTAATAACTTTTATTTTAATCCCTTCAAAGACCTGTGGCACTGAACATTAATGGAGAGTGAATGTTATAAAAATAAATCATTTATTATTTCAGATGAAATTATTGGCTTGTGTTCTGATTTTCGGACTACTTTCTGTCTGTACAGATGCATGGCGCGCTCGTGCTCGTGTGCGTGTGCCACGAGTCCCGTCAATCCCACGAATCCCAAGCACTCGAATCCCGCAAATCCCACGAATCCCACCCATAAAACGAGATGTGGTTCAAGACGCACAGTAAGGTAAAGCTGGTTTTGATTATATTTTCTTTAATACTATTTATCTGGAACGTTTTGTCTTCTGGATACTTTGAATTGTATTTGCTTTATCCAAACTGTTATATGTTGCTGGGTAATTAGCAGTCTATGAGCATTTCATTGTCAATGTAATCAATAACATTCCAATTACGTTGTCAATCTAATCATTACGATATTAGTATTTGCAATTGGCCATTACATGTAATTAGGAGTGTAATAAATTACTTTTGCAGTCATCCATTACTTATTAAATGACCATTGCTTCAAAACATACAGTCATTACATTAGTATTTGATATTAGTATTTGCAATTGGCCATTATGTCACTAGGAGTGTAATAAATTACCTTTGCAGTCATCCATTACTTATTACATGACCATTGCTTCAAAACATACAGTCATTACATTTCATTACCCATTACACATTACCCATTTCATTACCCATTACCCCAGCATTGAACTGCCTATAAGATCGGGATCTGCGTAGTATAGAATGTTCGTATCGTCCTGTTTCCTCCCGTATCGCCCTGTTTTCTCCTTCAATGCATACTGAACTAATCTTTAATACACTCGCTTTACTATTCATTCCAAATTTCTTTGGGTCAATATTGTCTCAATGAATTCGGACAGGTTTTAACACATTGTTTAAAAGTTCTGCCGGTTCTCGTACACGAGGCAGAGCCTGCTTCCTCTTTCTAGAACATAGAACATTAGACAACTGTGAAATAAATAAATGTGTTCCCTAACTATATATTGACATACTCTTTATTCAGTTCCTGAATTGTGTTTATATTATGTTGGTTGTGAAAGACTGTGGGTTGTCTCTGCTGTTTCATATACTATTTTAATTGTCTAGTACATGTACAGAGACTAAATTATGTTTCTATAATTTTTTTTTGGCAGATGAACTGTGACCTCAGAATAACGATTTGACCTGGCTATGTCCTCGGAAAAACGGTATTGATAGTGATAAATATTTGACCCATGACATCGGAATAACGACCTGGCTATATGTCCCCGGATTAACGACATTGAAATTACAATTAATTTATATGATAAAGCTGTATTGATCATCTTGACTGCATCAAAATAAATCAAATATTATATTTGACATTATGTGTGTTTTTGTTAGTTATGTTTATGCAACAATTACGTTTTGGGAGATGAGGGGGGATGGATGGCTTATTGATTAGCGCGTGCACGTTGTATCATAAGGTCTGTCATTGATTTACTGGTGTGGTTTCGATTCCCCGATTATTCGTCACGTGGAGTAGGGGGGTCGTCTTTCCAAATTCGTGGGTTTTCTACGGGCTCCGGTTTCATCCCACTGCTAAGGAACCCTACGCACAAAAGTATTATAAAATTAAACCATATGGGGGTGCAGACCTCAGCAGAAATATTAGTTATTTCGCTCTGAGGCAAAGTTCCGCAGGAGTAATATCACTTATTCCGCTCCTGGCAAGCAAGATCTCCGGAGTAGAGTTTCGTCTTTTGGTGACGGGCGTTTCTAAAATATACGGGAATTGTTCGTTTAAGTAAAGTAATGAGTTTATTGGCGGGATTTGTGGGATTCGAATGCTTGGGATTCGTGGCACACGACCACGAACGCGCCATGCCTCTGTATAGACAGAAAGTAGTCCGAAAATCAGAACACCAACCAATAATTTCATCTAAAATAATAATGGATTTATTTTAATAACATTCACTCTCCATTAATGTTCAGTGCCACATGTCCTTGACGGGATTAAAATAAAACTTATTACTACTTGACTATATACTTATTAGTGACGTATATAGTCAAGTAGTAAGTTTTATTTAATCCCTTCAAGTCACAAGTGCCTATGTTATTTATTATTATTAAATATAATATACCAATTTCCAGAAATGTTAGGTCTAAATTCTAAATATGGGACAGCGTGGCTAGAGAGGGTATACTGAAATTTACAATGCAAGATAAGGATGGGACATTTTTATCAACAAACGATGGACAATCAAAGTCGTCTGGCCATCGTGACCCACAAGGTAAAGAATATCGCTTTCTATGGTCAACATAGGCACGGGGTGTTTAAACAAAAGAATCGGAAAAGAAGAAATATACTAGAACTACGAAGCGGTACTGACGTGTTTCGGCTAAATGCGTTACGTCGCGTCATCATTTCGCTTTTCAAGACTTTAATAGCCTTTATCACCCAATAATACATTCTGCAGTAGATATCGCTTGCGTGATATATTTCATAATCTACTACGATATCTCCTTGGGAGATATCGCTTTACATGAATTTGATTGGTCAGTTGAAAAGGAACTACTTTTTTGTTTATGTTCAAAGAACAATTCATTTATTATTAAAGTAACTTTTTTTATTATTAAAAATAAACGATTATTATTCAATTGACATTGATGGAAACACTGGGTCAATATAAAGGACTTTGCAATGGTTGAATTCATTGACGTCATATATGACGTCAATGGTTGAATTGCTGTCAAAAAATTATATACCACTACGCCGTAATGTTCAGTAAAAGTGAAATCTACAGCAAAGAATTATTTTATCTATTTGTGCATGTAAGAAGGGATTGGGTGATAAATAAAATCTCCTACTCGTCTTTTTTGATATAAAAAAATAACAACACTCGTCGATAAAGTAAAAAAAAACTTTGAAATTCTTTATGCACATCGGGCGACACTACCACAGATCTATAGGCCTCTTACAAGTAATACAATTATTATCGAGTATAGTAACATCAAGTATCTAAAGCGGTGGTTGTCAGCCTTTTTTTGCCAACGGCACACCTTGGAACACATGAAAAAAATAGCGGCACACCTGGCTAAATATATATGAAAAATATTTGAATTTTGCAAAATAAAAACATTGTAAGACAGAAGGAATACAACCGTAGACAGAAACTAGTCATAGACAGATATAATGACTCTAAATAAAGAAAAACAGAGTAAACACCAGAGAATACTCAATTGGGATCACGTGGTTTTTCACACTGCCTTAGTGTGATCCAATTTCATTGATGCAATTGTAATATCAGTTATGTCTATATCATTACCTCGCATATCATTGCCCGCCCCATTCCACCAACTGATGATAAAGGATAAAGCGCACAACCGTGACACTTTTCTCATAACAAGTGTTGTTTCACAAATTCTTATGTAGCGGAGCAGGAGCGGGGACGGGGGCGGGAGTATAGCCCGCTTCCTGGATCCGCCCCTGTGGTAAACATAAAAAATATTCGACCTAATCTTTATAATTCAAACTGGTGTTTTCGTTTTACTTGCACGTCACAGGTACGCAGGTTGGGGAAGACCTCGGTGTTTTGCCCGATCCGAAAGACTAACCGCTCAGCATACCACATATGTTCACTGAAGCCCCTTGGCCCCGATTCAAATGGCTGTTGAATTACCATAGAAATACCCCAACCCGCAATAAAAGTAAACAATAATAATAAATAATAAATTCAGAAAACGAAACTTACCTTGTTCTAGTAATGATGACACTGCTAGATGATTTAATGAAAGTTTGACTAAGATAAAATCTAAATTTTAGTAATTTGATTGGATAATATTAGATTGATTTTAGTGCTTAGCCAAACAAAATTAAAGTATCTACTAAAATTTGGATTTTATTTTTAGTTAAGATGTCGAGAAATAGGGCCCAGGATTTTACAACACTGAGCTTAAAATAGCGCTAAAACCTAATTTATAATACACATTAATAAATGAAACCTTATTTCAGAGGTTAAAACCTTAATTTATCTACCACACGATCAATCTGTACTTTTAAAATGTAGATTGTTTCGTTCTATAATAATTGTATTTCCGTGAAGTTTTTGAAAATTTATTGTCGAGGTTTACTGATTCTGTGATGCAATTATACTCTATTGTGATCGATCTCAGTATCGATCTCATTAGAGAACATCGTTATACATTGTTGACTCTAGTGTCAGAAATATATGACTTGAGTGCTCAGTTGTTTCTCCCACGTAAAAGATCTCTTGGCAGTTGGAATTCGATATAAGAGTAGGTCGTAGCGCCCCTATCCGGGCAAATGTTTCCTTGATCGTTTTTCAAGGTCTGTAAATTTAAGTACCACCCCTTTCTACTGACCTTCACCTTGCAGATTGATCAATTAAATCATTGATGTCCGTCCCAGTCCGTACTATTTCCGTATGCAAATGAAGTTCCATATAACTTGTATACATGTATATTCTAATACGCTAAGTTGTATTAAGCATTTGTCTAGTGCAATGTGCAAATAACAATTATACTGTATTTGTATTATTGAAAAGTGTATTCTGCAAAATAACACTGACATTGATATTGTGGAGCAATGGAAATTGTAAAACTAAAATACGTATTTTGAACTGCTGACATGCATTTTCACCGTGAACATAATATTGATAACGTTATTCTTCCATACTGAAAGAGTTGTTATATACTGTAGCTAGGTATAAAGTAATACTGTCCATTGATAAATGTACTTATCTCCCTTTAACCACTAGATTAATTGAAGCGGCCTCGTTCTCATTCTCTATCGAGAAGACTTGTTTTTCCGCCATTTTATGTTATGCTGATATATCTGTGTCTAGATAAAGTATGTCAAATACTTAAAATGTGTTATTTATGATCAAGTAACATGGTGACAGAAGTGTGGATTTTCCCCTAAGAACATTTTAGGACAACCAATATCACAAGAAAAACAAACACATGGCAGAGTATCTTCGTAAACCAGGGCCACTGAAGTTCACAGGTAACGTGGCAGAAAATTGGCGAATTTTTGAACTGGAATTTAACATATTTATTGAAGCAGCTCATGCTGATAAATCTGAAAAAGAAAAAGCTTTTACCTTTCTGAATTTAGCGGGGCGTGAAGCAATTGAGCGCGAACGATCGTTTGTGTATGGAAGGGATGAATCACGAGAAAATCTCGACAACTTGAAAACAAAATTTGCTGCTATTTGCAATCCAATGCGAAATCTTACAGTAGACAGACATGCATTTAATTCCAGAGTTCAATTACCAAATGAATCTATACAGACTTTCGTTTCTGATTTGCGCAACAAAGCATCTGTTTGCCAAATGAGAGATTTAAAAGATGACTTAATAAAAGATCAAATTGTGTTTGGAATTCGAGAAAACAGCGTCAGAAGATTACTACTTCGCGAGCCGGATCTCACCTTAACCAGAGCCTTGGAAGTATGCCAGATCCACGAAACTTCTGAACGTGCACTTGTTGATCTTAGCCAACCAATACCAAACAGACCCACTGTCCGTGATGAAAATTCATTTTCCACAGAAATAGATGCTATCCAAGTACCCAACAGAAATCTTATGCCTAAACAAGGTCGTGGAAATCCACCTAGTTATAATTCGCGTTTCCAAACACAGATGCAACCTTATTTTCGACCGAGTTATAATCCACATTTTCTGGGCCCTCAAAACTATCAAGCACGTGGGTTGCGTCCTTGGGAAAACACTCGCTTTATTGGTTCCAGACCCCCGTTTAGCCATCAACGTCCATGTAATAACTGTGGATGTAGTCATCCACCAAGACGTTGTCCAGCATTTGGCAGATTTTGCGCATCCTGTGGCAGACCTAATCACACTGAAGACGTATGCAGATCCAGTGCAAACAGACGTTTTGACAATCATACTTACAGGCAACCTGTCCATGACATCAGTCTTCAATATGACTATTCGAACACAGAATCTCCTCAAAATGATATTACCCAATTCAAGATAGAATCATTGGATGTTTTCGGTCTGTCACCAGACAATCCCTCTGAATTATTTGTACAATTTACCATTCACAACAAGAACACCAGATTAAAACTAGACACCGGTGCTAAATGCAATGTGTTACCGTTTTCATTGGTACAAACAATAAGGGACAATCGCCTCATCAACACTACAAATGTGGTCAGACTCATATCATATAGTGGGGATGCCATTCAAACAATAGGATGTATCCAATTACCATGTTTTCACAAAGGATCTTTGTATGAAATCTCATTCTATGTTGTCAACGAGCAAGTTACCCCTGTTTTGGGTTTACAAGATTGTTTAGCGCTAGGATTAATCTCTATTAATATCGACACTGTAAAGCACGATACCACACTCCCAAGAGCGCAGATACCACCCATCGGGGAAATAACTGAAGAGTATGTACTACAACAGTATAA